TTCCATAACAGCATGATAGCATATACGAACAAAATGTTACAAACTGAAAATCTCACCCTCATTCGAGCTAATGCGTCAGGAAGAAGTTGCGAATAGTGAGCATTCTGAGCATCATTTGCACCTTGTAAAGCGTGAGCATAAGCTTGTTTAGCCTCTTCACTTATCTGACTTCTCATCTGCAAATTTATATATCTACATCTGCAAATTTGTATATCTAAAACTCTACACAAAAAGAGACAAAAGCAAGCTAAATTATTGAGAAACATATCAAAAACCTGTGCATTATTTTTTGCTTTGTCCAAATCCAGCCGAGATATTTCCATGTTCTTGTCGGCTTTTGCATATTTCAGATAAGCAGCTTCGGCTTCTTTGAAAGACTTTCTGGAAAAGTTACAGAATTCATATATAGTGAATAAATGGTAAGAATACATTTACATACCCGTAGTGTTTCTGTGCCTTGCAAAGATGTTCCATAGCACCAGCTAGATTTGCGTGAATTGCCTGCAGATCAGCTAGACACTGCTTCCTCTGAGCGCGATGTACTCCAGCTCTCGTCACAACAAAAGGGATCACTTCTTTGCGTATTTTCTCGCCAACCACCTTAACAAGCCCATGTAAACACACTCTTTAGCTATCCTCTTGTATTTAAAATCCAAGAGCATAAAAAATATAATATGAAAAACGTTAAATACGTCAAAGACGAACCTCATGTTGCCCAGCTAACGATTCCAGCTCTCGAAGCAAATTCACGAATGATCTTACGTATGTGAAATTCTTCGCAGCTTCTTCATCCTCCTTCTTTCTTCCGAGTGATTTCTTTGCAAGTGTTCTACAATGAAAGATTCCATACAAAAAATTCTACCAGCTTCAAGAATAGTAGTACCTTAATTTTGCAGCGTATTCCTCTTCTATAACAGCCCTTTCTTTGGCAAATGTTCCAATCCTTTCGAGAAACTCCACTCCTTTTTGTGTGTGGCTGGCAACCGCATCAGTTTGATCCTGTAATTAGAGTATTCCAAGTTAACCAACCAATGTGCATTTGCCACAGCGAAGGTAAAGGTCATTGTTAGGACCTAGCATCGG